CAAATAGGTAAATAAAATCTTTAAAAAAAAAATGACTAGCGTGAACTCACACCTAATGCCAATAATTCTTTTGATAATTAGACAGTAAGTGTGAAGTTTTAGTTTTTTGAGAATTGGAGCATTCTTATGGAGGAGAAGCTTTAAACTATTAAAGAAAAAAGCCTTCGATACCTTATAAACCAGCCAGTAATTCTAGTTATTAGAAAAAAATAAGAAATCTATTTCAGACTACAAAATTCATTCATTTATTAATTCAAAATTCTATACTTTGTTAGATTTGTTATATTTTTAATATTCCATGCATGCTGATTTGTACTTTTTATGGAAATGGTAAAAAATTTCCATAGATAAACTAGTACAGTACTGTAGTAAACTTCCTCTGTGGGGGTAGGGGGTCACTTCTAATGCTCTGCACTCTAGGTTTTCTAAAACCTGGAAGAGAGATGCTGTCATCTCTAGTTTGTTTATAAGGAACCTGAGCAGGGCTGTGTTAAATGCTCCCACAAGCATTTAACTCCCACAGAGTCGTAAAGGAGCCTGTGCGGGGTGATGCCACAGCCTGTCCTGAAGCTCGTCCCTGAGCCTAGCATACAGTTGGCCACTGCAGGCCTCCAGGAGAGCGGCCGAGAACGTGAGATGGTTTCCCACAATCCTGAATTGGCTGGCAGAGTTCCAGCCTAGAGTGTCTTCCCTGAGAGCATGGACGCGTTCGGTTCTTTGCATCCCGCTCCATCCTTCAAAGCGTACTAGTGCTGTATTACATACACAGGTTTCTACTAAAGAGTGTAGTATAGGACTGTCTATCAACAGATGTATTGTCTGTCCTCGAAAAAAAAAAAAAAAATAGAGCCACCAGACTTGACCTACCCTGACCAATGGATATTGAGAGCTGTTTTCCTAAACACACTATTATATAGACCTTGTCAGCATTGACCAGTGGTTGCTTTTGAGCACAATGAGTTTGGGAGTCAGTGAATTCCCGTAGTGGAGACAAAAGTCGCTTGTTTGGCAGTCACCTGTCATCCTTTCTCCCATATGCATTCATCCATTTGTCACTACGTTTTGTGAAGAGCGGAACAGGGAAGCTTAAGAAAAATGCTTTACTCTTGTCTGGATGATAGAAAGCATTTCTCATTGCTGGTAGCATGGTGGTAACTTTTCATTCCTTCTGGCAGTTTTTAAAGACTTATTTGACTTTGGGGGAACCTGCAGTATATCTTAAAGTCACAGTTCAAAAGTATAAGACAGTGTTGTTCATTTTCAATTTTGGCTGAAAAGTCTTAACTTCGACGGTGGCACTTCAAAGTTAGGGAAAACTTGGCTTTAAAAATGGATGCTGATAGGAGATGGCATATTTAATGACAAATGTATCTATAGAAAGCTGTTAAGATGCAGATTATCCCCCCCTGGGGTGGGGGAGGGAGATCAAAACTGCCAATCTATAAAATGTACTCGATAGAGGGAGGCATAGAATCTATCTTTGCAAGTGCTTTGATTGCAGGGGACAGTGTAGCAGCATGTGGGCATCATAACCCAGAGCAGGCAAATCAGCTTGATGACTTTCAAAGCCAGGAATACTGCTGCAGGCAAGGGCACTCCAGTCTAGGAGAAATTAAAACATATAGAGACTGTTATTAATTCCATATCTATTTTTGTATAGTCAAATCTGTATGCAAATCCTTAGCATCTCATTTCAGCAGATTAATCTAAAAGTGAAGAGTGTTATGTGAAGAGAATGTAATGATAAAGCTCTGCAAATAACACTGCTAAAGAAATGTGGGCCACAAACTTGGATGCTTTTTTAAAATTTATTTTTTTGTACTGAGAACAAATGGTTTTTATTTATATGATCGTTTGTAAATTATTTCAAAGGGGGGAAGCAAGAGAACCAATTTCTAAGGTTTTTCCCTTGCAATCCTGACTTGTTGAAAGTTACAGCACTAGGTTTTTTAGGCACCTCCTGTGGTTTAACATTCCAGAAGTAATCAACCAAATAACTAACTAGGATTTTTATTTTTACTTCCACCTACTAACCCAGTATCTCATTTTTAAAAGTTGTCATGTGAGTGAAAATTTGTGTGTAAGGGTAAGGAATCTAATTATGGCGTGCAGATTAAGGGGTGGGGGAAATTATTACAAATGCATCTGTAGAAGAGAGTAAATAATAATTCTGAAGAGCACGGAGATAAATTGTACGCCCTGCCTAAGAGAGAGGATGTAATAGCTATATTCTAATCCATTGGTTGTACATTTAATCTATAATAGGCAGAGTCTGATACATATAGTAGTGTAAATATTTTCAAAGAGTGTCATAAACAGATAGTTTACTGCAGTAGATATTAATTCTGTCCCATATTTCTAAAACAAGGAGAGAAACTGTCAAAGCTTTGAAATAATGGGTGGGAGCTTTACCCTCTGCTCCCTCTCATTTGGAGAAATGATTATAGGCGAGCTGGACGTTAATCTGGTGCTTATGGCCCAGATCAGAAGCACTTGGCAATCATTTTAACCCTGAAGACTTGTGAGGTCTCAATAGATTTGATTATTCTTGTGTAGTTACGCCGAGAAAGAATGATTGGACATTCAATTTTTGATCAGATAAAAGAAAAGGAAGGTTGGGAGGAAGAAGCAAACATACCTCTGTGTTTATTTGGGCATACATTTTGACTCTATATAGGCATTTCAGCCTCAGCTTGCTTCAGTGTATTTTCTTTTCCTTTGCTTTTATTTTAAAATGAGACATTCAAAAGAAATGCAGAGAAGACTTTCTTTGAGGGCAGGAAGCTCGATTCTCTCTGTTCTTTGTGGATTTACTCTGCAGATAAAGCTTTCATTGATCTTAAAAGTAGTTGCAGGCTTCAGAGAGAATATATATATAAAGCCCTCCAGTTAATAAAAGCCATAGTCAATTATATGAAAGAAATAATCTCCTTATTGGGGTTGCACGAGAGAGTAATGATTGGCCTGGACAGACTTACTTCCCTTTATGTAGCCATCAGTATTGATTGATTATTCAGCTCAGTTAAGGATTGTGCAGGAATCCTCTGGATTCTCGTTGACTTGATTCCTGGCCACGGAGTTGATGGTGGTGACCTATTCAAAGTATTGGAAGTGTCAAAGCAAAAATTATACTGGACAAAGTTAGGCAGATAAGGAAGACTTTGTTCAAGACTATTGCAGTAGGGGAGGGAGACCAGGAGGCAATCTGAAATCAACTACTCTGAAGAAGAAGAACCAGGAGGGTTTATAAACACTGAGCTTTTCTCAGCGAGAAAAGTACTGAAGGAGTTTTGGAGGAAGGTTGATCAATGTGATGTATTGAGCACATTCAGTTACCCCTGATTTTGTAAATGTTTTTCTCTGTGATTAGGCCATGTGTATTTGCTGTTTGGCACCCAACAAAGTGAGGCTCCTACTCTCTTCCATAGAAACTGGGAGATAGTGACATTATCGTCCGTGATGATTACATTTCATTGGGATGGCTCCTGGGTCTTTGAGGAAGTTATTCCTGGGTTGTAAGACTTGAAAGAAGCTTCCTAAATGATTTCTATCTCAAGGAGGCGGAGAAAGAATTTACAGATTTTCTAAAGTAAATGCTCTAAGAAAAGGGATGTCAGGGGCCTAGAGACAGAAAGAGGCCTGCCTAAAGTTGAGTCAAACTGAGAAAAATGTTAAGGCGGAGTTGTAACAGTACACACTTTGTGAATTCAAAAAATTTCAACAGGAAACACTTTTAGTCTGGCTCAGTTTTAGATCTTTATTGCAAAATTGGCTACTTCTTTGTGATACTTATTAAAATGTTACTCATTTTAAATGAGCATCTAGAACTATGTATAAGGCACTATTTCTAAAGAGATTTTTCGGGGGGTTGCTCTTATATTCTTGTTATGTTATTACCTAACATTTAATATCTCCTAGTGTTTTCTGTAATGCTGTTTTATATGTTTTTTAGTTCTCCCATTTGATGGTAAAAATTAAAGTAGAATCAGTAATTTCTGGGTTTTACAGGCCTAGTGTATACCACGAACGTGAAAATAAGTATGAGGACAGACAGGAAGACTTTGTTAGAAATGTGATGATTTTTTAGTGGTTCTTGATTAAGCAGTCTTTGGATCTAAGCAGCTGTCAGGAGGCTTTAGAAAAGTTGATAACAACATCAACTGTGTGCAGTGCCGTCCAACGTGGTCACCCTCAGTCATATGTGGCTTATTGGGCACTTGAAATGTGGCTCATCTGGATTGAGATGTGCTGTATCAAATATACATTGGATTTTGAAAACCATATGAAAAAAGGAATATAAAATACCTCCATAATTTTTATATTAATTTCACATTGAAATGATATTTGGGCTATGTTGAGTTAAATAAAATCTACATTAAGTTTACCTTCACTGTTTCTTTTTAGTTTTTAATGTGGCTACTGGAAAATTTAAAATTGCATATGTGCCTCACATTGGGGCCTCTCGTTATATTCTTTTGGACGGCTCTGGCTCTAGGTTTCTTTTGATAAATCATGTCTTTTCTTAGAAATGGTTCCTCCCAAGAGATATCAAGATATCACTGTGTTGGCGTGCAGAAGGTTAGAGCTGTAAAATTGCCAGGTTAGCTAAGGACAAGAATTTTCCATATAATTCTGTCCCGGGCATGAATTGTGTGGAGATTTGTCTATGTGGAGATTTGTCTATGTGTGCGGTGTTCATTCCCACTTCCCGCCATACATCGCCCCTCATTCTGGCCATGCAGAGCAGCTTGCCAGGATTGGGGCCTCTTGGTAATTTCAGCATACTTGTTGCTTGCTCTCAACTGGATTGCTTCTGAAATGTTTCTTGAAAATGAAACTGCTTCAACAATAAGCTTCTTAATTATGTCATGGGTTCACCACGAGGGTATACAAACAGATCCTCAGCAGTAGCTAATTTTCCTTTAATTGTATCTCATTCTTATGTTGGAATATCCTATTTCGTATTCATGAAAGCTCTAACACATGTTAATCCATTACAGGTGGAGTAACTAACACAGCACAATATCAGAACAGACTAATGGTATATGAACCTAACCAGGTAAGAATCATATAAGAAAAACTCATTACCTTAATTAAAATGAATTTTAAAAGATTTCCACAGTAATTAGTAGTTGAAATGCCAAGTCTGTACACACACATGCATCTTGTAGAGAGAAAAGGAAGCATCTGGATAAACTGCCTTTTTTTTTCTTTTCTCCTCTCACAAAATTTCAGCTCCTTTAGTTTTATGCAATACAGGATGCTTAACTCTTTGAGTGTTTTGCATAATGTAGAAAAAAGGGGAGATACTTGATGGGTTAAATGCCCTTTATTTCCATTATCTCAAATGGCTATTCATATTCAGAGGCATCCAAAGAAAGGATTTTGATTGACCTGTTGTATGTCCTTTTAGAAGGCGCCTCATTCCAAGAGGGGAACATGCTTATTGTTTCAATTACTCCCAAATAAAATAATAACTTTTATTTAACTCAGCGTAGCCAAAAGGTCTGAGAGCAGTGTCAAGGACAAGTCTGAAGCAGAAGTATCTGAAAAGTAGAAGGATGTTTTTCATCTAACAGCTGGTGCCTGAACTGGAAGCATTTTGATGGTCCCTGTCCCTTCTTCTGTCCACTTGCCATCCACACTCGAGTTTTTGGTCCCCAAAGGAACAATTTTTATTCTCTTTTCCTTCTACCAAAATGTCTGTGGCCTTGGCACATGTGTTCAGGATTTCACCATTTCTATGATTTGGGTAATGCAAATATTTTTCATGATTATGACAGAATCCCAGAATGATTTGATCTGGGGATTTAATATTCATCAGCTGGAGATAATGGAACATGAAACAACAGGTTGGCTTTGGCAGCCTGGGTTAGGATCGGCCACCAAATGTGTGTCCTGAATGACCTCAGTCGATTTGGTGTCTTTTTATTTCAACATTATTTGATTCTGAATTTAACGAAGGTATTCCTGACTCTTTGCAAGTGTGTTTCCTGATGTCTTTAGAAGCTGTACATTTCAGAGACCACATGTCCATGGGCCAGATGTCTCAAGAGGGATCATTAATTGCAGTTGCTTGAGTTCGGTGCACACGTGGTTAAAGAAGAAGAAGGTGTTAACATTTCTCAAATGAGTTCTGTTTCATGTTTGTACACACATGCTCTTTTTAAAAATTCTGCTGGCATATTGTTTACGGTTGGTACTGGCAAACATCACATCTGCTTGCATCTTGCTCAGAATCTCAATAACTCTATCATTCAGCCCTGGTGCTTATTTTTCTTCTAGGCCTTTGCGGAGTGTCGATAATGCCTGCCATCTGCCACAGAGCACATCGCTACCTGCCAACAGGCAGGCTGGGGTGACCTCTGCTTCCCCACCACTGATTAGTATTCACACGCTAGCTTATTAGGAATGACCCCACTAGGCCTCTCTGTTTCTTTGCCTTTGCAGTGGTTGGCGGCTCACCTGGCAGGCACGGCAGTGAAGGAAGCTAAAGATATAATCAGGGGATGCAGGCAGGCTTTACAAACCAGATGGCGTCCACAGTCCCGTGGCGGGGGACTGGACTGCTAATGCAAACGTTGATTCCTAATACCGGAATGGGTTGCCTCATAGAAAGCACCTAAGAAAGGCATCATCAGAGTTTTGAGTTAAATCCACTCATGTGAAATGTATTGATGATATTTCTTCACAGAATATCTGAAAGAAAGGTTTGGTTATCTTATTAAAAGAAGACATTTGATTGGAAAGAGTCTTGTGACACAAACGGGGAGCAGATAAATGCAAGCCTTTCAAACTGTACAAACCACTTTTTTTTAAGTCTGTCTTTAAAAAAGAAATTATACACAAACAATGAATCATGGAACACTACATCAAAAACTAATGATGTATGGTGATTAACATAACATAATAAAAAAATAAAAAGAAATTAGAAATGAGCTAGTAGATAGGCCTTTAGTGAATTGACCAATATTTATATAAACTTTTTTTTTCTTTTGCTTATTCCTTTACAGCTTTGTGAACTGGTGAAATTCTATGTATTAAAGACATATGATCTTTCTATCAAAATCCAAATTTTTCTTGGCAAAAGGAATCTGGGTTCTTCCTGTAGGTTAGTGTTTATGTGCAAAGGAAATGGTTAGGTTTATTTACCTGTCCATTGCTCAGTTAAGATTTAAAATTAAGGTCATATTTGATATTCATCTAATTTTGCCTTTTACATTAGATTTTTGAAAGGAGCCATATTGAAGAGGAGTTGAGCATGTCTTTTTCATTACTGAGAGTGACCTAGAACCAAATAGTCGAGGTTTCACCATTCCTGAAGTTGTATAAAATTTGGCCTTCTATCAAAACAAATGTATGCCTAGAAATAACTTTTCCCAGTTTGGTAGACGATATGATTATAAATATGTTAAAAGGGGCTAATACAAAGGCAGCAATGGGACTTTGTTGTGAAACCAGATCTTTGCTCTTCCATTGATCTTAGGAGGTTAATTTTGGAAAGAATGGCTGAGTCACCCTAGCCCTAGTTTATGTAGAGGCCTTGGGTAGCCAGTGATTACTATCAGAATAATTTTTGAAAGTGTACATTTATTGGACATTATGTGGCACTCTTCTAGATGTTTTGTATTAACTAATTTAATCTTCACAACAAGCTTGTCAGGTACAGTATGACTCTCCCCACTTTACAGGTGAGGAAATAGGCGCAGAGAGGTTAAGTACATTGCTCAAGGTCACACAGAGGTTATTAACTCAGGCATTCTGGATCCAGAGCCTGTTTTCTTAAATCATTATACCTAGCCATGTGCTTTCACTCTTAAGCAATTTACATGAGTAAGTTCTCTCAGCTGGGGGAGAGAACCATCATGAAAATTTCTATATTCTCATGTGCTCCCCTTATAAAATGCAAATGCCCTATAAAATGCAACCCAAACAAGAGGAAATGGCTTAGTACATTGCAAAATAAAGTTTTGGCATACATGGTTCTTCTCTACTTGTTCTCAGGTAGGAAGCCCATACCTTTCAGAGTATGTAAGCAGCACTCCAGTGGAATGTGATAGATAAAGCAGTCCCAGCTACTAATGGGGCACTGCTGTTTTCTGCCGTGGAGTCTCTTATTAACAGAATCCACCTGAATTTCTTTTTTTTTTTTATTCCCCCCCCTCCCAGAATAAATGGATAAGCCGCAGTCCCATGCTGCAGAGAAGGGTCTACCATTCCATGGCTGCTGTTCAAAGAAAGCTTTATGTTCTTGGAGGGAACGACTTGGACTACAATAACGACCGGATCCTTGTGCGCCATATAGATTCTTATAACATAGACACAGACCAGTGGACGCGTTGTAATTTCAGCCTGTTGACTGGCAAGTACCTTTGACTAAGTAAATCAGGAAAAGCAGAGATTCAAGAAATTGCCACACTTGTTTTCTTATACCTCTTCAGTGCATCCCTAAATATCAAGTGCATCATGGCAGAACAACTTGTGTTTATTAACCAGAAAGGTACACATTATTTATCTCACAAAACATGACTCAGTCAAGTGGCTGAGCTAGTTTCTCAGGGCCTCTGTTACCTTCGTGCATCTTGGCTGAGAGAGGTATGTCAAATCCTTTCTTGTCAATAAATATTCACATAGGAACTCTGAGGCAATTAGGAACCGGAGAATTAACGCTTTACAGAAGCAATTTATTTTTTTTCTTTTTGCTTTTAGTCTTATTTATTTTGAGGTCAGGAGTCTGGTCTTCATTATTTGTTACTGTCAGGTACGGTTTCTGGCTGTAGTCTCCCAACAGCTAAATCTTGGAGTTCTGTGCATAGGGGTTTGGTGGTGTTTCCAGCCACATAGGGGTTCAAGCATTACCCAGGGCAACACTAGGTACGGACCCTCATCCCAAAAGGTAATAAAAGGAAAGCAGTGAACAATTTACCCCTAATGTTTCTTTACAGACTTGAAACCTTTCTCTCCCTTGTCAGCTTGCATTATAAACATACACAGGCGATCAGGTCCCTTCCAGGCTGCTCTACTAAATGAGAAAATCACAAACTCAAAATGGTGGGTTGGACTAGCCCCTGAAGACCTCTTAATATGCTGAGGGGGCACTCCACCGCTCACAGCTACTGCCGGGGAGGCAACAGCAAGCGCGGAACCAGTGTGAGGGGGTTAGATGCCTTGTGTGGAGCTCCTGTTTTTGTGAACACGATCTTTGAGGCCCACCTACAAGTACTTAACCCTCTCCGAGTTGCTGTAGTGGCACCTCAGCCCCTTGGTCCCTGGATCTGTGACTCTGGCCACTGTAGGATCCAACTTATTTATTACCACAGTCAATCCGGTGTCAGCCCATCAATAAAGAGAGACTCTCTCACTCTCTGATGGCCTCCAGGGAAGATTAGGTGGTAGTGAGTTATTCTGTCTTCTTTTTTTAAAATGGGAGAGGAAGCTTTCATCATTTTGGCGTGTCAGTGTCTGGTCCCAGATCGGGAACTTTAATATAGTCCTAAAACTGTTGTGTATGTCAAGAAAGGGAGGGTAGTAACTTTATCAATCTTTTCTATCATTTGTCTTCATTTGGGGGACACTCAGGGCATGGCTCTGTTTTATTGGCTTCTTGGGGCTGCAGCTGTTACCTTACAAATGTAAGCGCTTGCTTTAAAAGCATTTATAGAGGTGTTTTGCATTGTGAAAATACATCTTGTTTCCACTGCTGTAATACGACGTAGTAATAGAACTTATTTTGTTATTGCTTATTATTGCTGTATTTAATGCCGTATTTACCCACTTGGCTGGCGAATAAGTGTTTTGGCTTGGTTCTGACCTGACAGATTCATTCTCTGTGAAAGAGTGGTTAATTCTTTCCTCTGAGTACTGGGAGGCGGTGATTAGTTGCTGCAAAAATCCTGTGGAGCATACAAGAGTGCCACAGGGGGAAATTGTATCGCTCAGTGGCAAAAAGGGTTAATTAAGACATGCAAGGAAATGGATTTATTTTTTCTTTCTATTCAATTCTCTTTACTTTAGGCCAAAATGAATCTGGAGTTGCTGTCCATAATGAGAGAATATATTTAGTTGGTGGATATTCGATTTGGACAAATGAGCCTCTGGCTTGTATCCAGGTGAGTGGTTGAAGTTCCTTTGAAGTTTGTTTGGCTCAGTGAGGTTACTTTTTGAAGTTTGTTTGGCTCAGTGAGGTTACTTTTTGCAGTGCTGCTACTGAAGGAAGAGATACGTACACGTAGAAAGAGGTTTGAGCTAACTGTGCATCTAGTTTTGCCACTAAACTTCATCCTGCTTCCTAAAAATGATGCCTAAGAAATGATGGAGCCCTAGTGAAAATAAAGATGGGGGTGAGCTTTCAAAATATGTATAATAATATCCTGCAAATGGGGAAAGTGGGATAGTACTATCACGCTCCCAAAACTTTACAAATGCCTCCTTTCCACTCAAATGCTTTATTTTCTGTTTCGCAATTTGTTCATTCCAATAAATCCCACCTACAAAGGTGTTCTTCCTTCCTGGCAGAAGTTGTGAGCAGTAGTGGTTGATGACTAGTCTGATGGAGAGAGCCTCTGCCCCCAAACAACAGGTCTGGCCCATCAGCCAGTGAACAGCCCAGGTGAGGCAAGTTGCCAGCTGAGCTTTTTAGAACAGCAATAGCTTTTGTTGATATACATATTCAAGGTCGTCTTATTTTATCTTTTACAATTGTTACCATAGTTGTTTCTCGTTTTACGTGCTCTCTGATAATGTATTGGCATGTATTAGGCCTGATTTATCTCTTGATCTTCAGAAAAATATATCCTTAAAATTATTCTTATTATCTAACCTCACCTTTGGGGGAAGATTTTTTAACCACTGCATAGTCCCAGGACTATTCAAGATTTTAATTTTTTCTTCAGTCACGTCTCATAAGATATATATATTTTCTCAAGAAACTCCTCCACGTTGTCTCAGTTTTCAAAATGGTTAGCATATAGTTTTGTTACCACTTAGTTATATCCCCCATTACATTCATAATACTGATTTTTTTCTCTCTCTCCCTTCTTCTCTTGATTTGTCTTGCCAGAGGTTTGTCTGGGTATATTACATCCTTAAGTAGATCTAAATATGCAAGGATAGCATAAGTATGATCAACATAATGAACAAGCTGGTCCTAATGGATGTGAGTTCTGGATTCAATGGTTAGGATAGAGTTTTTTTTTTCCTTTTATTGAGATATTATTAACATTTAATTGTATTAGTTCAAGGTATACCAAAAATGTTATATATGTATATATTGATAAGTGATCACCAAAATAAGTTTAGTTAACATCCATAACCCCGCATAGTTACAAAAGTTTTTTCTGTTTGTGATGAGAACTTTTAAAATCTATCGTCCTAGCAACTTCCAAATATTTACTGCAGTATTGGTAATTGTAGTCACCATGGTGTACATTACATCCCCAGGATTTATTTATAAGTGTAAGTTTGTATCTTCTTTTTTATTGAATTATATATGACATACAAGGTTACAGTAGCTTCAGGTGTCTAGCATAGTGATTCAACAAGTCTATACATTGTGCCGTGCTCACCACAAGTGCTAACTACCATGTGTCACCATAACACAATGTTATTACAATATCATTGACAATATGCCCTATGCTGTGCCTTTTATTCCCGTGACTTATCCATTCCATAGAAGACTGTATGTTCCACTTTCCCTTTACCCATTTTGCCCATTCCACACATCCACCTCTCCCCTGGAAACCACCAATTTGTTCTTTGTATTTATAGGTCTCTTTCTGCTTTGTATATTTGCTTTTTTGTTGTTTTTTTTTTTAGATTCCACATATAAGTGAAATTATATGGTATATGTCTTTGACTTATTTAGCATAATATTTTCTAGGTCCATCCATGTTGTCACAAATGGTAAGATCTCATTTTTTATGGCTACTATTCCATTATATATATATATAAAATCTTCTTTATCCATTTGTCAATGGGCATTTAGTTTGCTTCCATATCTTGGCTAGTATTGTAAATAATGCTGCAGTAAACATCATAGGGGTATCTTTTTGAATTAGCATTTTTGTATTCTTTGGGTAAATACCCAGTAGTAGAATTTTTGGGTCTTATGGTATTTCTATTTTTAATTTTTTTGTGGAACCTCCATACCGTTTCCACAGTGTTCACACCAACTTAACATTCCCTACCATCAGTGCATAAGGATTCCCTTTTCTCCACATACTTATCAACAGTCATTATTTGTCTTTTTGTTGCTAGCGATTCTCGTTGGTGTGAGGTGATAGCTCATTGTGGTTCTGACATTTCTCTGATGATTAGTGATGTTGAGCGTCTTTTCATGTGTCTGGTTGGCCATCTGTACGTCTTTGTTGGAAAAATGTCTTTCAGGTTCTTTGGCCATTCATTTTTTAGTCAAATTTTTGGGGGTTTTTTGGTGTTGTGTAAGTTCTTTACATATTTTGCCTATTAAGTCCTTATCAGATATATCATTTGCAAATATCTTCTCCCATTTACTGGGTTGCCTTTCCATTTTGTTGATGATTTTCTTCACTATGCAAAAGCTTTTTACTTTGGTGTAGTCTCAATAGTTTATTTTTGCTTTTGTTTCCCTTGCCTGAGAAAACATATCTAAAAAATTGTTGCTAAGGCCAATGTCTAAAGAGATTACTGCCTATGTTTTCTTTTAGGAGTTTTATGGTTCCAAGTCACATGTTTGGGTCTTTAGTGCATTTTTTTTTTTGAGTCCCTCTTATTTTTTTTAAATTTTTTTATTATGTTAATCACCATACATTACATCATTAGTTTTTGATGTAGGGTTCCATGATTCATTGTTTGTGTGTAACACCCAGTGCTCCATGCAGAACGTGCCCTCTTTAATACCCATCACCAGGCTAACCCATCCTCCCACCCGCCTCCCCTCTAGAACCCTCGGTTTATTTTTCAGAGTCCATTGTCTCTCATGGTTATCTCTCCCTCTGATTTTCCCCCCTTCATTCTTCCCCCTGCTATCTTTTTTTTTTTTTAACATATATTGTATTATTTGTTTCAGAGGTACAGATCTGTGATTCAACAGTCTTGCACAATTCACAGTGCTCACCATAGCACATACCCTCCCCAGTGTCTATCACCCAGCCACCCCATCCCTCCCATTAGTGCATTTTGATTTTACTTTTTGTGTGTGAGTTAAGAAAGTGGTCCAGTTTCATTCTTTTGCGTGTAGCTGTCCAGTTTTCCCAACAACATTTATTGAAGAGACTGTCTTTTCTCCATTGTGTGTTCTTGCCTCCTTTGTCATAGATTGGCCTTGTGAGTGTGGGTTTATTTCTGGATTCTCTGTCCTGTTGCATTGATCTATATGTCTATTTTTGTGCCACTGCATACTATTTTGACTACTGTAGCTTTATAGTATATCTTGAAATTTAGTATTGTGATACCTCCAGTTTTGTTCTTCTTTCATAAAATTGCTTTTGCTATTAAAAGTCTTCTGTGGTTCCATACAAATTTTAGTATTTTTGCTCTAGTTCTGTGAAAAATACTTTTGGTTTTTTTGATAGGACTGCATTGAATCTGTAGATTGCTTTGGGTAGTATGGACATTTTAGTGATCTTAATTCTTCCAGTCCATTAACATGGTATATCTTTCCATTTGTTTATGTTACCTTCAGTCTTCTTCATTAATGTTTTATAGTTTTCAGAGTACAGGTCTTGCACCTTTCTGGTTAAGTTTATTTCTAGGTATTTTATTCCATTTTGTGTAATTGTAAATGGAATTGTCTGCTTAATTTCGGTTCTGCTACTTTGTTATCAGTATATAGAAATGCAAAAAATTTTTGTATATTAATTTTGTATTCTGCAATCCTACTGAATTCATTTATCAGTTTTAGTAGTTTTTTGGTAGTCTTTAGGCTCTATGTATATCATGTCATCTGAAAATAGTGACAGTTTAAATTCTTCCTTACCAACTTGGATGCCTTTTATTTCTTTTTCTTTCCTAATTACTGTGTCTAGGACTTCCATTATTATGTTGAATAGAAGTGACAAGAGTAGACATCCTTGTTTTGATTCTGATCAAGAGGAAAAGCTCTTGGTTTTTCCCCATTGAGTATGATGTTAACTGTGGGATTGTAATATATGGCCTTTAATATGTTGAGGTATGGTCTCTCTCAATTCACTTTGTTGAGAGTTTTTATCATGAAGGGATGTTGAATTTTGTCAAATGCTTGTTCTGCATCTATTGAGATGATCATATGATTTTTATCCTTCATTTTGTTAATGTGGTGTATCATGCTGATTGATTTGCAAATATTGAATCATTCATGCATCCCCAGAATAAATCTCTCTTGATTATGATAAATCTTTATTATATTGTTGAATTTGGTTTCCTAATCTTTTGGTGAGAATTTTTTAAAGATTTGCTTATTTTAGAGAGAGAGAGGAAAAGAGAAAGAGGGCATGAGTGGGCAGAGGGAGAGAGAGAATCTCCAGCAGACTCCCCATTGAATACAGAACCCAAGACAGGGCTCAGTCCCATGATCCTGAGATCATGACCTGAGCCAAAACCAAGAGCTGGGTGCTCAACCGATTGAGCCACCCAGGCACCCATCTTTTGTTGAGAAATTTTGCAACTGTGTTCATCATGGATACTGGCCTGTAGTTTTCTTTATTTGTAGTGTCTTTATCTGGTTTTGGTATCACAATAGTGCTGGCTTTCTAGAATATATTTGGAAGTTTTCCTTCCTCTCTTTTTTAGAATAGTTTTAGGAGATTAGTGATTAACTCTTCTTTAAATGTTTGGTAGAATTCACTTGTGAACTCATCTCCTCTTGGGCTTTTGGTTGTTGGGAGTTTTGTCATTACTGATTCAATTTCATTACTAGTAATTGGTCTGTTCATGTTTTCTATTTCTTCCTGATTCAGTTTTGTAAAATTGTACGTTACTAGGAATTTTCTGTTTCTTCTAGGTTGTCCAATTTGTTGGCAAATAATTTTTATAGTAGTTTCTAATAATTTGTATTTCTGTCAGTTGTAACTTTTTTATTTTTGAATTCTATTTTTTTCTTGATGAGTCTGGCTAAAGGTCTGTTGATTTTTATCTTCTCGAGAACTACCTCTTC